CATAGTCAGAATCAACACAATGGCAGCTAACAACAACATACATACATAGAACATGGTCTGAAAGAGTATGTCCCAAAACATTTAATATGATTATTTCTGGGCAGTGTAAGTATGGATGTTTTTTTAAAAGTCCCTGTTTTTTTCTTATTTTTCTGCAATGAAAACGTCCTGCTTATATAACAAAAGGAAACACGTTCTCAGAATTGAACCAGTGCTCATATCAGAGTACAGTGGTGCCGTCGAGTCCCTGACCTTCCCTGCAGGGAATGAGACCTAACATTGCCTTAGCTCTTTTGGCAGCCTCATTGCTTTACTGCTTTAAACTGAGCTTCTAGTTCGCTAAAACCTTCAGATGGGTTTAATGTTTTCACACAAACTGCCCTTGCTTTACTTGTTTGGTTCATTTTATAATGCAAGCAAGAGACGTAACATTCATCTCTGTCCATAGTTTGAGCACTTCAGAAAACAACCTGTGCAACTGCCTTCTGACTGGTGAAGTCTCTTCTTCCTTAGTAGGATCCTTTAGATAAAACTCTTGGAATGTCATGTTTGAGAACGCCCTGTCTCTTCTAAGCACTTTAGATAATTTTCCTTGGAACACTTTGAAATCTGACTTCCTGAAATCTGTAACAATTATGTGTGAACCATGTTCAGTGTTGCTCTCTGTGATTATTATGAACTCATTCTCCCAAGGTTTCTACCACTTATACTTTTTCAGCAACTAGGTTGGTCAGTTTTGTAGCTCTCCTTAAATCTTTCTTTAACATTCTAGTAAGTGAAACTGTCGGCATGATATGAATTATTGTCCTGATGCTTGGAGACCTCTGGCACTTCCATATCTTGCCTGGGTTCAGTTTTGCAATCTGAATTAAGATCACATTGTCCATGTCCTCCATTTATCTCAGCACCTGGTTTGTACTCTTATTGCGTTTTGTTTTCTTGTTTTTTTCTTCTTCTTTTATCCCCGTCCAAACACTTCCACCTTCAGTTCTGTGATTTTCTTTTTGACATACATGCTACTTTTGAGAGTCCCTTTCATTTTAGACCTACTTCCTCTGAGTAGTGTTAGCTTTCCATGGTCATGCTCTGTCATGAGTTCCACGTGATATATTTATCTTCTTGTGCTAAAATTCAAGTTCCTCTCCTACTGAGGTCTTCTGTAGTGCCACACATACCAGCCCTTAGGATTTTACTAAAATTAATTACAATTACAGGTGAAAAAAATCCCTGAAATAAATGTTTTGCAACAAGGAATGGCAACTCTACCCCCAAACAATCTTAGAATAGTTTAATCCTGAAAAAGTTAGGATTAGAATTTTAGAATTTAAAAATATGAAAGAAAACTCCACTGCTGTAACACATGGTTTTGCAGTTTCACTTGGACACCTTTCTCTTTCCTTGAAAATTTTAGAAAGCACATGATGCCTAGTTTTTGTGTTATTGGCAGTTGCCATCATGTCAGCTCCAATTCATGATGACCTTATGTATAACAGAAAGAAGTGTTGCCTGGCCCTGTGCCATCTTCATGATGATTGGTATGTTTGAGTCCATTATTGCAGCTATTATGTAGTGGCTTCCAACCTAGGGGGCTCATCTTCCAGCACTACATCAGACAATATCCTGTTATGATCTATAAGGTTTTCATTGGCTAATTTTTGGAAGTAGACTGCCAGGCTTTTCTTCCTAGTCTATCTTAGTCTGGAAGTTCCACTGAAACCTGTCCACCATAGGTGACCCTGCTGGTATTTGAAATACCAGTGACACATAGCATCTAGCATCACAGCAACATGCAAGCCACCACAGTACAAAGAAGTGACAGACAGGCAGTGGAATTTTTCTGTTACTTACTACATAATTTATCAGAGGACCATAAATCTTATCATAAATTTTAAGCCTCCTCCAAAATCCTGTTCTCTAACACTACATATGTCATCAGCTCTCATGTCTTGTGCTCTTATCTTTTCCAAAGTCAGGCTCCTCAAATGCAGGAGACGAAAATATTGCCTGAGACCCCATGTCCTTCAGATTCCCCCCAGATTTCTTCTGGTTGTATAATTTGTTCTCAAATGTATCAACTGAAATACAGGGTTGTGGAATTGTAACAGACTCAACATTAGGCCTCAGAACCTGTTCCAGGAAGAAAGAGGACTTGAAAATTAGCAAAGCCAAGTCTGCATAAGGCTCCTCCTAACCTTTAGCAGAGAGTCACTAGCCAAGAGAATGGGGTCTCTGTCTTCCTGGGTTGGGGGAAGAACTCCGTGCACCTGTTGTCATCAATGAATCCTCCTTAGTATTCTAAGAACATGTTATTCTTACAAATGTGTCAGTCTGGGATTGTCTTTCCTCCTTAACCCTAGTGAAGACTGGTATCTGGTAAGAGGGAGACAAAGATTTTTTGAGCATAATAATGCTGAACTTACGCTATGAGAAAGTCAACATAAGCAAGTAAAGAGATGGTGTGTATTGAGATGTTTTACCAGGGGAGTTGGGGCTGACCCTCAAAACCTCCAGTGTCTCAAATTCCTAGGAGTAAGCAGAAAGCACACAGCCCAGATGATGGGATGGATCCCTGAAAGGAGAATTAGGACATCAACTATCAAGCCTTCTTCAAAGATAAACCCTGCTCATGCACCCAAGAAGAGTTTATCTGTTGTACTGTGTACTTCATGCATCGTGGTAAATAATTATCACCCATCTAATTGCCTAGATCCTTCAATGTTTTTTATTTGTTTGGGGACAGAAAGCAGGCTGATCCTGATTATCATTTTAATGCCAATGCCTAATGGCTAGAAAAGACAAAGTAAAGTATTAAAACGACATGTGCAAAGACCTGGAATTAGAAAACCAAAAGGGAAGAGCACATGAGGCATTTATCAAGCTGAAAGAACTGAAGGTAAAATTCAAGCCTTGAGTTGCAATAGTGAAGGATTCTATGGGCAAAATACTGAATGACATAGGAAGCATCAAAAGAAGATGGAAAGAATACACAGAATCACTGTACCAAAAAGATCTGGTCGACGTTTAATTATTTCATGAGGCAGCATATGATCAAGAACCAATGGTACTGAAGGAAGAAGTTCAAGCTGCACTGAAGACACTGGCAAAAAATAAGGATCTAGGAATTTTCGGAAAACCAATTGAGATGTTTCAACAAACAGATGCAGTGCTGGAAGTGCTCACTCATCTATGCCAAGAAATCTGAAGACAGCTATCTGGCCAACAGACTGGAAGAGATCCATATTTATGGCTGTTCCAAAGAAAGGTGATCCAACCGCATTTGGAAATTATTGAACAATCTCATTAATACCACATGCAAATAAAATTTTGCTGAAGATAATTTAAAAAAGTTGCAGCAGTACATCTTACATCGACAGGGAACTGCCAGAAATTCAAGCCAGATTCAGAAGAGGATATGGAAAGAGGGATATCATTGCTGATGTCAGATGGATCCTGGCTTAAAGCAGAGAATATCAGAAAGATGTTTACCTGTGTTTTATTGACTCTGCAAAGGCATTCCACTGTGGGATCATAACAATTACAGATAACATTGTGAAAAATGGGAATTCCAGAACACTTAATTGTGTTCATGAGGAACCTGTACATAGAACAAGAGGCAGTCGTTCAACGGAACGAGGGGATACTGCATGGTTTAAAGTCAGGAAAGGTGTGCATCAGGGTTGTATCCTTTTACCATACTTATTCAATCTGTGTGCTGAACAAATAATCTGAGAAGCTGGACTATATGAAGAAGAGCGGGGCATCAGGATTGGAGGAAGGCTCATTAACAACCTGCGATATGCAGATGACACAATCTTGCTTGCTGAAAGTGAAGAGGACTTGAAGCACTTAGTGATGAAGATCAAAGACCACAGCCTTCAAGTATGGATTACACTTCAACATAAAGAAAACAAAAATCCTCACAACTGGACCAATAAGCAACATCACGATAAACAGAGAAAAGACTGAAGTTGTCAAGAACTTCATTTTACTTGGATCCACAATCAATGCCCATGGAAGCAGCAGTTAAGAAATCAAATGACACATTGCATTGGGCAAATCTGCTGCAAAAGACCTCTTAAAGTGTTAAAAAGCAAAGATGTCACTTTGAGGACTAAGGTGTGTCTGACCCAAGCTATGGTGTTTTCAATTGCCTCATATTCATGGGAAAGCTGGACAATGAGTAAGGAAGACCAAAGAAGAATTGACACCTTTGAATTGTGGTGTTGGCAAAGAATATTGAATATACCATGGACTGCTAGAAGAATGAACAAATCTGTCTTGGAAGAAGTACAGCCAGAATGCTCCTTAGGGGCAAGGATGGCGAGACTTCGTCTTACATACTTTGGACATGTTATCATGAGGGACCAGTTCCTATAGAAGGACATCATGCTTGGTAAAAGAGGGTCAGTGAAAAAGAGGAAGATCCTCAAGGAGATGGACTGACACAGTGGCTGCAACAATGGGCTCAAGCATAACAATGATTGTGAGGATGGTGCAGGACAGGGCAGTGTTTCGTTCTGTTGTAGATAGGGTCGCTGTGAGTCAGAACTGACTCAATGGCACCTAACAACAACAATTGTTTGGATCCCTCAGTGCTTTTTATTTGTTTGGGGATAGAAGGCAGGCTGATCCTGATTATCATTTTTATGCTAATGCCTACAAAACACCTGTCCCATATGGGAGTCAAACTTTCAATTTATTTCTGAAGACTGAGATGTTTCTGTAGTGAAAAATCTCCCTGCAGAGGGAATGCAACTAATTATTAAAACTATTTATCTATTAGTATTCATTCATTCACTCAATAAGTAGTTATACATTTATAACTAATATGCAGATTAGATAAAGTGTGAAAATTGTATAAGGTATGTGTAACTGTCTGTGTAGTCGAGAAAATATTCCAGTGCACTTAATAAAAGAAATCTAAGAACAAAAAAGCAAACAAACAAACAAACCTCAAGTGTCTTGCTTTGGACCAGAACCCTGGGGGAGGAGAGATGAGGGAAGAAGGTTAGAGAAAGGACCCTTCAGACTCTTATCATGGAGGACTCTGTGTGAACTGAAAAAAAATCACATGATGAGAAAAGTAATGTTTTATACCATTTGCTGGACAATGTGTTTGTTATCAGCTAATAGTAGGATTGTTTTCTATCTAGTCATGAACCCTACCTGTGGTTGTGAGCTTACAGACTGGTATGTCAGAGCGAAGAAAGGAAATCATCAAGATTTCACCACCCTCTTGGCAATGAATCTAGACTGCATTTTTAGCACAAATATTTTGGTGTCTATTCCAGGGAGGAAAATTAAACTTAGCACATTTCCTGCTAGTCACTGAACAGGGCAACACCTCCCAGACCATAAGTGTCTATCTGTGGAATCTCTCCTTGTAAACTGCTAGGCCTTTGAGGGGCCTATGTCTATGGCTTGAACTGTCTCAGTAAGTCCTTAGAACCCACCAGGAATGGTGTTAATTGGGTGGGTATGTTCACTGTGATTTCTTAGTTCCAGCCCTAGGAATGTTAGGAATGCATGGAGTGTGTGTGTTTGCTGGGATGCATGCACACATGTGGGCACTCTGAGTGACCTTCCTCAGCTGCTCCCAAGGAATGTATTTGGGTTGTATTGGGTTTGGGAAAAATTAGAAGGTCATGTTATGCAGCCTCCTGAAGAGAAGTGACTCTAGAGCAAGCAGAATGAACTTTTTGGGGCACATGCCCTGCTTCTTCCCACGGGGACCCTGGATCAAGTGTCAGAGACACAAGGTCCCTTAGACCAGTGCCTGCAGACAGGGAGCCTCAGAATCTCCCAAAGAATGTGTTTAAAATGCAGATTTCACGGCCAGACTCCATACAGATGTACTGAATCAAACTCTAGGGAATACAGCCCTGGAGTTTATATTAAGGAAAAAAAAAAACAACGCCCCAGGCTGTTCTGTTATGCAAGCAGGTTTGGTAACTGCTGCTTCTCTTGGCCCATTTTCCAATCAGTGTCGACATCAAGACTCCATCATGGGCTTTCACCAGATGTTCCTATTAAAAAACATCAACGATGCTTGTGTTTGCACCAATGACATGTTCAGGCTTGCTCTGCACAACTTCAGCTGACATCAAGCCCTTCTGATTTTACCTCCTAAACATATCTTGCATCTTTCTCCCTCTGTCTCTATTAGCCACTAGCCAAGTCCAAGCTACCAGCATCTCTTGCCTGGACCACTGCAATAGCATCAAAATTCTTCAGGGATTCATCTCCCTGTAATCTGTACTCCACAGAGTGGCCACAGTAGTCTTTTTAAATCTCAAGTCTGATTCTGTCACACTCCCTACCCCATCCTGGCCCTCATATCAGTGATTTTGTTTTCTGTCGGTTTTAGGGTGAACACATTCTTCACATGGCCCACTGGGCCTGCATGAGCCCGTCTCTACTGACCTCCCCAATCCCATTTCATAGCCACCCTCCCCTTGTGCTTGCTGCTCCCTCCACACGGATGCTCCTTTCCCCCCCTTTACCTGCCCTTCCTTGGGGCTCAGTTCAGCCATCACTTCTGCAAGGAGGCCTTCCTCACTGCTCATGGGCAATATTTTTTCAATTGCAAATTTATATTGATTTGCACATGCTGTGCTGACCTGGAGTCTGGGCTGGGCTAGAGCAAGCAAATACTGCAATAATGGGAGAGGGAGTGGGGTGTATGCCGGTACCTCTTGGGGCTACCTTCTAACTGAGGCATCACAGGGGCTGCTGTGAATTCAGTACTATCCCCAGCACTCATGTCAGAGCAATATTAAACATCATCACTGCCAGCAGTTTTCACTCATTTCTTTATTAATATACAAAAGGCGCCCAAGGCAGATGGACCAGTAGTACAAAGCACCAGAAGTTAATACTATACTGGTGAGAGGGTTGGCTTTATAAAAGTGAAGGAGCAGGCAGGAGCTGCGCTGGTTCTGAGGGCCAGGCCCAGCCAACTACACAGAACCTCGGAGCTGCACCTGGAACCAGCCCCAGGGAGAGGGCAGACAGGTAGGTTGGAGGTAGGAGAGAGCTGGGGACCCTGGGGACAGATGCAGAGATGGAGGTCAGGCCGTGAGAACCATCTTGTAGCTGATGAGGACAGGGGACTCTGCTTGCTCAAGGCTCCCCAGTGGACCCTGGGCAGGGGCTCAGGTGGGCCTCAGCTCTAGGGCAGGTAGAAAAGCCCTGTGGATACTAGTGGGCAGGGGGAATCCAGACATGGCTATTAGGTTGAAGGGCCTTTTCCCCTCTCTCCACCAGGGGCCACCCTTGCTCTATACTAGATGTGAGGCTTCAGCCCAAGGCACAGAGACAGGCCCAGAGGCCTCCCAGTTGGGAGAAAGCGGGGGCAAGGAAGGAAACACTTGAGTGTCCCTGGCTTAGGCAGCCAGAGCTGAGACATAGGGTAGGACAACAGCACCCCTGCACAATGGGACTGCAATGTGGGGATGGGGTGGGCTTGTCCTTAGCCAGTGACCAGGACCAGTCACATGGCAATGATGCCTGCCTGGAGGCTTAGCAAATGGAGTCTGCAATGAGCACTGGGTATCAGCAGACCTGGGTTCTAGCCTTAGCTCTGCCATGGACTCGTATCTCACAGAGCCGTGTGACCATGGGGCAGCCATATCCTGCCTTAGGCCTGTTTCCTCATCTGTCAGTGAAGGTTTTAGATATGACCTCTCAGGTTATGGAAGGGCATCTGAAGGTCAAGGGAGCTCTAGGACCAGCTCTTGGTAGTTAAGTGGAAACTGGTCCCAACCAGGCCCTTGATGGAACTGGCATGGGATAGGGGTGAGCAGGTGATGCAGGAAGATGTTCTTGCTTGAACCTATCCCCACAAACACTCCAGAGCTGGGAAAGGATGCTGGGAACCTCTCCTTTGCCCAAGGAAGAGAGGTCACCCTCCCTTTGGCACAGGGAGGGAATGGCTCAGTGCGATTCCTTCACAATCATCATCTGGCTAACACTTGGCTTGGAGAGAATGGAGTGGCATTATGCAATCCTTCATGTTCTTTTCTGGGATGGGGAGCCCAAGGCCTCTAGTGGCTTCTGCCTCCAGCCCTCAGCATGGGGTCAGGAGTGCTCTTTTTCACTGTGGTCCTGCCCTGGGGACAGACTAAGACTCTGCCTGGCTGCCACGTTAGTCAATGAGGGAAAGGACAGAAGGGGTACGCAGACAGGGAGGCGAGAGCGACTCTCTCTGGCTTTCTCCTCTTCCTCTAGGCAGAGCAGCTCAATCAACTGAGTTGCAGATCTCTTCCACCACAGCATTGAAGATGTGTGGCTGGTCAGCATAGACGTGGTGTGAGGCACCCTCAATCTCCTGTGGAGAGAGGAACCGCCAGGGGTGGAGTGGCCTTTCATTCAAGGGACTAGGAAGCTGTTCCATTATTTCTCTTCTCCTCAGACCCACTTGCCTGTCATGCATTAGCACTTATCAGAAACAATGGTCCACCTTTCTCCCCTGATCTTCGCTCTTTCCTGTGGGAGTCAATGAATCCCAATATCCCATTCTGCTTCTCCCATGGCCCTTCTCTGTATCTTTCCTTCCATGTTAATCTACCACTCATCTGCTCAGCTCATCCAAACGTCTGGTAGCATCCAGCCTAATTAAGCATGCTATTGGCAAATGAGGGTGGAGTGGGGGTAGGAAAGAAGGGAAGGCAGAAGTGTGGTGGGAAGGCTTAGTGGCAACTTCTTCTATTCCTGATGCTGATTTTGGATGGGAATTATGGGTGGCTGGAGTGTTATCTGTACCTAGCTACTGGACCTGCCTTTTAGCCAAACTGGGCTACACAGGTGGGAAGCCCCTAATTCTGATTTTACAAAGAGAATCAACCCTTTCAAATCCACTGCCCTATCTCAATCTGCCCATTCATCTTTTCCCTAGTCTTTGATCACTCTTTCTCTTCACTAACCCAAGGCTCATCTATACTGACAGTTAATAAAAATGCACTGAAACATTCAACTCACAGCATTTTTACTTCAACTCCCACTCCTTGAGTGGCTCAACGTACCATGTCCCGGACATAAGAATCTGGCCGCTGCAGCTTCACTTTTTTCCCTGTGCTGGTATCTATCCAGGTATTAGCCCCATAGATCATGGTGATTGGCACATCTTTTCGAATCAAGTGAATTCGCTCCAACATGGGGCGCCGGGCCCAGCCAAAGGACTCCATCATGGCTTTGAACGCCGTCTCACCACTGAAAGAAGAAAAATGGGGCTGAGGCGGCTAATAGAAGAAGCCCCACAGCATCAAATGCTAACTTGTCTCTTCAGAGGCTGGGGCAATATCTTAGTCATTGTTGTACTCCTCTCAAAGCCCAGCATTGGGCTTAATAAATATTGGTAAGATTAGGAGATGAATAATAGAATCTTCAGAGGTCTCGTATCACAGAACAGTTAGGAGGGACACACTTGTGAAAAACCCCATGGCAGTGAGAACTGTCCAACAATGGTATGAGTTATTTATCAACAAATAGTTATGTGTCATGCCCTGGGCTGGGGGCTGGGGACAGATGAACAAGATGGAAATGGCACCTGATATCCTGGAGCTTACATTTTCGCTTACACTTAAAAAAAAAACAAACAAACCCATTGCTGTTGAGTTGATTCTGACTCATAGCAACCCTATAGGACAGAGCAGAGCCACCCCATAGGGTTTCCAAGGAGTGGCTGGTACATTCAAACTGCCGACCTTTTGGTTAGCAGCTGAATGCTTAACCATTGTAGGTATTAAATAACTAATTATACAACTAATTATTTAACTTAAAATTTCCCAAGGATTGTGAAAGAGTGGTCGAGTGCTATGAGACCACAGACCAGGGGACTTCGCCTAGCTGGGGATGAAGGGAGCGCATCAAGGGAGGGTACTCTGGAAGGACACATCTGAGGTAAACTCTAAGGAGCCAGTGCTAGAACTCAGTAAAAGGGGCTTCCTGAGAAGACTCTGGAATTAAAAATTCAGTCTTATGAGGACCCGGGGGAACAGCAGTTTATGCTAAGTGAGAAACAACAAATGCCAACTTAATCTACTTTACTCCCTGTGCATTTCCTTAGGTAGAACTAACTGAGACCATATTATATGGGCTGGTGTGCAAGACTGGGATAGAAGCTAGCCTTCTGGGCTAGTCTATAGCTTTTGTGGAAGGCAGGGGATGTTTAAGATACTGCCACCTACGAAGCTTGGCCTATTAAGTGTAGTTATTTCCCTGGTCTCCTTCACACTCCTGAGATGAAGGTGAGCCTAACTTTTGCCCAGGCCACCAGAAACGGAGAGATTTTCCTTAAGATATAACAGCATAGTGGAAAAATTATGGACTCTGGAGTCAGACAGACATGAATTCAAATCCTGGCTATGTTTTCTTAGCAAGTCAGGTAGCTAAAATATGCCTTTATTTTCTCATCTACAAACTGGAGATAGTTATATACCCACTTTATAAGATCACTGTGTGGAAAATGGAAATATATATAAAGCCCCTAAGTTTAGGTGAAGCTAGTAGGTATCCCCCAAATACTTTTCCCTTGGCCAAATTTCCTGTTTTCCAAGGGAATGATAAAGAGTTTCTGCAAGCTTACCAGGGTTACAACTCCTAAAAACTTAAGGGGTTATGAAATTGAGTGATGATGTTTGGGAGCTAGGGGGCTGGTTATCACTGTATTACTGATGTCATCTTTGCTTTCTCCAGGACACGAATGGGTTGCAAGATTATACACAGTGTGGCTTAGATTGGGAGGTTATCTGGATGGAACTAGGTCTGGGGCTGGGGAAAGTTCTGAGGAAAGGACTAGGCTGGGCATGTGGGGCCTCCAGTGGGTATGAGACTGGCACTGAGCCCAGTGGGGGCTGAGAGAGGAGCTGAGAGCAGGAAGTTAGAGGGCTACCTGACTTGACTGTTGAGCTGAGGGTTTCTATTCTACTGCTTAACCAGGGCCCTCCAATTAGCTGAGCTCATGTGGAATGTTGAATAGACACTCACACACTGTCCAAAAAAAGCTGTCTGGGTTTGAGCTAATGTTCAGACAGTACTGTTGGAATGCAAATCCCCACCTTCTTCATGGCTCTGTACTCACAATGGAGACTCAGATGGCCTGGAATGAAGTGGGGCAGTGCTGCTGCTCCCAGAGACCCTGGCTCCCTGGGTGCCTCCTGGCAGCTCGAGGTGAGGTCTCCACATAGAAGCAGTGCCACCCACGCAGCCTCATGGTATCAGGCACTCATAGGGCACTGCCACAGGGTAAGATTACCTCACTGGCTTTGCCCTGGCTGCCACAGTTGCCAAGACTCAGATCAGCAGGCTGGTGGGGCCTGCTGTCTAAATAAACAGTCATAGATATGAACTTCTCAAGATTCTGGGGATACTCCGAAATCTGGAAGTAAGTTCTGTCCTAATAAAAAGTTATTTTCAAAGCACTCAAAATTAAATTTTAAAATGCATTCTTTCATGCAGCAACTCTGTTTGTAGGAATGTATTTTATAGATGTAGTCACGTGTGCAAAGGCACATGTGCATGGATGTTCTCGGAATCATGTCACGTCACAGATTGGAAATATCAAGGCAATTTGGGGAACTGCAGGCCTGGGGCAGAAGACGGCTTTTTATTTTATAACCTTTTTGACAGTTTAATTTTTTTTTCCCTTTAAAAAATACCAGGTTCATATTACTTTTTCAATGAAAAAAAAGAAGAAGAGGAAAAGAAAAAGAAGATCTTTTTAATGTTTCTTGACTCTTGTCCATTTGGCTAACTACCTGTCTCTACGGAAGAGTCTTCCTCCAGAGACGGGCAGTGTGTTTAATTATCTGTTAGCTTCTCCATCCCATTGTGCCTATCCTGGGGGAACGCTTTAGAAGTGATCAAGCCTGCTGCCAGTGTTCCCCTAACTGAGTCAGAGCTTTGTGGAAAAAGAATGGTCCCAGGATAGTTCCTGAGTTTCCTAGCAGCTGGAGTTTCGGCTCCAAACCTGTCCACCCCGGGACCTGTCCTTACCTGGGATTCTGTGCATTGCAGTGGTAGATATATTCTGATATGGTATCATCTTCAAAAAAGTCTGCAAACTTGCGCTTGAAGTCTGGCCGGAATCGCTGAACCAGGCCAGGCCCTGGGGAGGCAACAGAAAAACATGGAATGGCTGGCTTCGGTGGGAGAAGAAGACTTTCCTGCTTGTGTATGGTTTTAATAACTTAACCTGGACATTCTTCCTCCTAAGGCCTGTTTGTTTCCTTTTTGTGTTTAACATTAAAGTGGCAGAAGGAGTGAGGGTCTATTGGGAAGCTCCAGATGACAAATGACAGAATTAGTCGGTTACCAAAGAACTTAAAGACAGTTAACATCACAGAGGAACCAGATTATTTTCAGCTCAATGAAGTCTCAGATCTTTTCCTCCAAGGATCACAAGTTTCACAAGAGTCTATGGTTCAGATGCTTTACTTTTACAGTCTGAGCTATGTTCTCCTTCTCTCTGAGACCTTTGTGGGCTTTTACTCTTCTGAAAGTAGCAGATGAAACTAGACCACCTCCTGAGAGCCCTCTCATTTTCAGGCCTGTAATGGAATATGAGTGAAGAGTGAACTTAACAACACCAGCATCTCAGACTCAGGGCACTGTTTTACAGCAATCTGTCCCTTTCACTTTTCCTTATGGTAAATACACAAGCAATAGGGCACCCAAAATGGACTGTAAAAATTGGGCTAAATAGTCAATTTCTCATCTCTCTGTCTTCTGGTGTTGGCAAGAAAAGGAGCGGGAGGCAAGAAGAGGCCCAGAAGCTGCAGCAAGGATCTCGTGGGCCCTGGCCACCTTCCTCCTCTCCCTCCTGGCACAGTCCTCCATGGCTGCCAGCCAACTGCCCCAATCATAATAGCTCTGATGCCCATGCATGAACCTGGCCAAATGCAAGGGCAGAAATGGGGAGTGTGGCTAGAACAGGGCACCTCCCTGGGAAATGATTATAGAGTCTGTTGGATTCCACAGTGCTGGGAACTCTAAGAAGGTCACCCCTCTGCCCACTTACTCTCCTTCTTTGGCACCTGGGTCTTTGCTCTTCTTCCTTTTTCCCCAAATTCCTAAACTCTTACCTTCTACTCAAATGCTAATTTTTCTCTTTTACCCAGTGCCATTCTGTTTCTCTTGAAGGGCCTAGAGAGACAACTCTTAATTTAGCCATTAGCAATGAACTCCTAACAATAGTCTAGTAACATAGCTATTGAATGTTACTATATATACACATACCATCAATACAAGATAGAGGTCACCAATCTTTTTAATATAGGGAATATATTTTTTACTCAGAAGGGAAAGGTGCTGACAGTGAGGTCAGAAGGGCAGGAACTACAGATAATACTCACTTTGGCTGGCTTCCTCATCCCCTCCTGTCTCCTTCCCTCTCTCACCCACAGAATTAGCTGATGGCTACTGCTAAGCAAAAGGTTGGAGGCTTGAGCCCACCAAGAGGCACCACGGAAGAAAGACCTGGCAATCTACTTCTAAAAAATCAGGTGTTTTTCACAAGGGGGTCATACGACCCCACGTATGTCAGAGTAAAACTATGGGGCACAGTTCTACTCTGACACACATGGGGTTGCATGAGCTGGAATCGACTCCACAGCAACTGGTAACTAGTACCTAAGTGCTAGGTAATACAAAGCAGATGAATATGTGGTGCCTGCCTGGAGCAGGACATGGTTAGAGGGGCTTGCCTGCTGCTGTGGGTGGTGTTGGAGGCTCTGGTTCTCACCCTTCCTGCTAGAGGTGCTGGGTGAGCTGTGGAGATGGGACCCAGTGGTGGTCACCAGGGCTGGATCAGCAACTCTCTGGCATAAGAACTCACACACGTAGCATGACAACTCAGGAGAGGAAGAGTCAGACCATGGCCCCTTCCTCTCTCTGGAAGTCTAGCCAAGGCATGGGGTAGTTTTTCTGCTCCATCTGTCCCTTGCATAGGAAAGTTATGAATCCTCTGAAGCCTCAAACAAAAAGATCTGGTCCAGATTAATAGCTTTAAATAACAATGCTACTAAGTCCCTAGGTCCATCCCCACTTTTCATGAACAAGCAGGGATGGTGGAGTCCAGAAGTAGTTGGGCTTCTAGAATCAGACAGCCTTGGTTTAAGGAGACAGAGTTTCTTCTTCTGCAGGCTACTCACCCCAGGGCCCAGCTACTCGAAGAACAGCCAATGGATTGGAACGCCCTAGGACAGAGGCCACAGCCTTGAGCCAGGTTGGGGGTGCCCGGATCTCACTGGGGTCAGTCGGTCGGAGGGGAAAGCCCCATGGGTCCACCAGGATGAGGTGTTTAACTCTACATTAACAGCAGGATAAAGGAGAAGACAAGTTGTATTAGCTGAGAGGTATGATAACCCTTAATGACTTGGGAAGGAGAGAACTATTAGAAACTAATACTGGAACGTTTTCAGCAAGGTAAGGAGTGACATTGTGAGGGAGAGTGGTGGCTCTTCCTTACCTTTCAGGGTACTTGATAGAGTAAGAAGTGGCCAGGAATCCTCCTAGACTGTGTCCCAGGAGGATCATGTTGGGGATCCCCATGGTCTCCCGCCATGTCTCTATTGAGGTTACAAACTCATCCTCGGCCCCCTCTGGGTCCCTCGGAAATGCTGGCCTTGAGCTTCGCCCAAAGCCAAGCAGATCAAAGGTGTGCAGTGTGCGGCGGGCACTCAGTGAATCCATGTTGAGGATCCAGAGGCCCACCCCGCCCCCGAATCCATGCACCATTACCAGCGGGGTGCGGTCCTTTATCTCGGGGCTCACGGTCACCGTCCAGATCTTGTTCTGGTTTGGGAGGGACACATATCGGGCCAGAAACTTGTTCTGGAGACCTGGGGAGGGGAGAATCCCAGGGCAAATCAGTTAAGACTGCTCCAGACAGTATCATCATTTTGCCTGGACTACCAGTCTTCAGATTCCCTCTTCATTCCCAAACCCTTCCTAATCTTCCTCATCGCTTTCCTTTCACAACCTTCTGAACACATATCCTAAAGAATTCAACTCCAAGCTGAATTTGTGGGCATCTACTCTGTAAGTAATAAGAGGGGCCACCTTAGTCCCTGAGGCTGTTTGTCCGGTTCCCATTGGGCCTAGGGTGGCAGTGACATCACTGACTCCACAGAACCCATCATTCTGTATGCTTGGAGTTTGACAGACGGATAGAACTGTGCTCTTGAGGGGTCCGGGAAGGTAGCTTCTAACTGGAGTTCAGTTAGGTAGAGGGACTGATGGTGTGGACTGAGCCATGGGCTTATTAAACACTGAAGTGGGACAGAAGGCAAAAACAAAACCCAGAAACTGGTGGCTGTGGGGGTGTAGGGTAATGCTTGCTCTGCTGGCTCTGAGAGCATTCACATGACTGAGTGACAGAGGTCACAGGTGCAGTAGCCTGGATCACAGATAGAGGCTTGAGAGCTGTGGCTGCTGTGCCACTCAACTTACTCAGGCCCATAAGAGAGAGGGTAGCCATGGCTGGGGCAGTGGGAATGGGGTGAAGAGGAACATCTAGGGAAGTATGGGGAAACATGGTCCAAGGGTCTTGTTTGAGCCAGTGGCTGATGCTGCTCATGGGATGACCTGCTCCAACGTAACACTCCCACGTGATCTGGTCTGTGGGAATCTCAAACTACTGTGATGACCAGAAAAGTGGTGGGGCATAGAACCCAAGGAATAACAATATTAGAGAATGCAGGATGGTGGTCCTAGGGTAGGAAGGTGATAAATCTAAGAAGCGCTTGTGTGTGTGGAAGAAGAGAGATGGCGAGAAGGAAGAAGAAAGGAATAGGGGGAGAAGGAAGGAGGGAGGGCAAGAATGTGTATGCCTGTGTGTGTTGTGTACTAAAAGTTGGTACAGGGTCGCTATGAGTCAGAATCGACTCAATGGCAATGGGTTTGGTTTTTTGGTTTATAGTGTTTGAGGTAAAAGTTGTGGCTGGGGCAGGAACTAGGGTGATGGCTAGGGAGGGAGAAGCTGAGGAAGCATTATCATAGAATATCGTGTCCTCTGTATGAATGCGTTCTCTCAAATCACTGCCATCCCTTCCTCCCACCCCAAGCACTGTTAATCAGCAATCAGCTGGCTTGGTACATCAGGCCTTGGGTAGATTCTGTATCCTTCTTGGGCCTCCGGAGTGAGGTGGGACAAGCTGTCCCTTCTACTTACACTGGAGGATCCTGGCTTCCACATTCTTCAGCTGTGACATAGACGTGGGGCGCCAAGTGGGCAGCCAGCTACTCAGCCAGCCTTGAGGCCTGGGACAGGGAGACACATAGATACTCACGGGCAACATCAGAGGAAACACTGATGCTCTCAGCCTTGCTGATGGTTACAAAAGCTTTCTCAGGGTGCAGGGTGTTTCCTAGCCTCACCAGCGCAGTCAGCAATCCCCTAGATGCCTGATAGACTATTACTCTCTCTGATAAACGGCTCTGTACACAACATGCCCCTTATTTCAACAGACACTGAGAACATCATGTACACGTCACTCTGCAGTTTATAAAGCTCTTTCACATTTACTATCTCAGATGAGCTTCACAACCCTCTTTGTTAATGGTTATATTTTATATTCTAGGAGATTAAAAGGAAATAAAAGCAACTGACGCTTTGGTTATCCTTTGCCATCGTTAGGACTGGCTATTCTTTTAGGGCAGGACAGACAAATTCCCATGCCACCTGCCCTCCTGGCAGGGCCCTGGGGTTTGAGTGCACCCATCTCCAAGCCCCTAGAAGCACAGAGCATTGTGCCAGTGACCATCGGGTGCACAGGTTATCAGTCCAACCCTGAACAAGGAGACGGGGTAGGCAGGGAGCAGGAGGTGGGAGACCTGGGTTCGAGTCCTGCTATGGTTCAGTTGCCTTTGGCCTTATTTTCCAGACTGCAAAATGAGTAGAAAGCTCACATATATCCTCACTCCCCATGGGAGGTAGTAAAACAAATAAAATAACTCACCCTGCTTTCTCCTTCATACCCACTGCAAGGTAGAGGTGAAAAGCACCAGTTTTGGACTAAAAAACACCTGGATCTGAATCACAGAACTCTAATTTATGAGCAGAATTGCTTTGGTCTGTTAAATAACCTGAGTGTCTAGATATGTAACAGACCTTGTAAGGTGCCCAACACAAATTAGATGCTCAATAAATGGCAGTTTTTATTCTTCCTTTTTCATCCCATATGATATTTCTCTTCTTGAACTCTGCCTAGGTAAAGGGGGTTCTAGCATGGACACCACCAGTTTCAGGAAGACCAAGAGCTGTGACCACCTTAAAGCCTTGGCCTGCCCTTAGTCACACCTCCTTTTAGAAACAGAGACAAGTGTGGAAATGTGGTTATATCCTGTATTTACGTAAGGGCCTTGAAAAGCAGAGGCTGGAAGGTCCAGGGAATGGGTACTGAGAAACTTGGATTTGCCATCTGGGTTCTAGTTTGGCTCCTTTTCTAACTAGCTGTATGACCTCTCTGGGCATCAATTTGCTCATCTGTAAAATGAAGAGGCTTGACTAGATGGTATCTATCCTAATTTAAAACTCTGTGCTTCAAATGATGCATCAGAATGCCCCATGTGTGCCATGAAGTTTGGTAATGGTTCCCCTTGCTCCTCCGAATGCCCTGCCTTGACTACACCAGTGTTCACAGGCCCCTACTACAGCCTGCTCAAGATACTTCAGTAACCATGCAACAGCTAAAGAATGCAGTCCAAACTCTTTAAAGGCCAACTTCCACTCACCTCTCCAACCTGTCGTTATTCCTCTCCATTCCTAGAGTGGATTCAAATTCAAATGATCATACTCCTGTCTCCACACCTTTGCAGACCTAGTTCCTAAACCAAACTTGTCGCCATCAAGTTGATTCTGACTCATAGTGACCCTATAGGACAAAGCAGAACTGCCCCATAGGGTTTCCAAGGCTGTAATCTTTATGGAAGCAGACTGCTAAATCTCCTGCAGAGCAGCTGGTGGGTTTGAACTGCTGACCTATTGGTTAGCAGCTGAGCGCTTAACCACTGGACCACCAGGGCTCCTTACCTAGGTCCCACTACCTAGGATACCCTCGCCCTTCCACTTGTATCTACCCTTCAGAGCCCAGTTAAAGCACAAGGCCTTATCCACACTCTAGCCTAGTGATTTCACTCTCCTTGAACTCCTGGAATATTCATCTATACCACATATGTAGTATGTAATCCATGTTACATTGCATTGTTGCGTATCTAGGCTAGTAAAAGGCTCAGCCGTGATTAGGAACTGGGATGTAAGCCAGAAAGTCAGAGTTCTAATCCTGGTACTGCCACTTATCAGCAATGTGACTTTGGGCACAGTATTTGGCCTTTTTGTCAGTTTCCTCATCTTTAAAAGGGAGGAAGTAATAGTATCTACCTCACTGGGTTGTTTTAAGGATTAAATGAGTTAATTCATCTAAAGCACATAGAATAATGCACAAAACAAACTCTCAACAAACTTTCTCCCCAGTTAAATCATAAGCTGTCTACATTCTCAAGGTTTTGCAAGTTGCAACTCTCAATGCATGTCTGAAGTCTGAGATACTGAGGCTGCAGCTGAAGAGTAATACATCAATGGCGTTAACCAGATGAGTTAGTCTCAAGCAATCTAATCCTGGGGAGACTCAGAACCCTTTTAATACTCTACTGGAATTTCTTATAGGCTTGAAGCATGGGATCAAGTCCACAGAATTTTTCCTAGTCTTAACGGAGAGGTAAGAAGCCCTGGTGATGCAGTGGTTAAGCACACTGCTGCTAAACAAAAAATCGTCGGTTGGAACCCACCAGCCATTCCACGGGAGAAAGATGTGGCAGTCTGCTACCATGAAGATTTACAGCCATGGAAACACCATGGGGCAGTTCTACTCTGTCCTTTAGGGTTGTTATGAGTTGGAATCGACTTGATGGCAACACGTTTGTTTTTGAAGGAAGAGGTAAATTTTTTCTCCACATCATATAGCTGGTGACAAGTCAGATATACAGGGCATGTGGACCCCACATTGCCCTGTATGTACCCAAGCAGAAGTCAGGAGAAGTGCCATCCCATGGGACAGTACAGTGGGCTGCTTAGCAGAGATTCTTCAGGGAGCTTTTCTTTGCCTCTCTTCTTCACTAAAAATATTCCACATAAAGCTCTGGAAATGGTGCCTGGCATGCTGTATCTGCTCAATATTGTTGGGGAGGTGAGGGCTGTGGTGGGAAATTGAAGCAAGGAACAGAGAAGCCACTTAGCCATGAATTTAGCCTGGCCAGGTGATCTCGTCCCTTTAGAGTTCTCTCACTGTGGGTGCAGGGTGAAGCAGGCGGGTTCTGTACTGGGTAAGAAGGCTGTTCTAGACCTCTGTGACCTTGGGCAAGTCTCCTAACTTCTACGGGCTCTGGCTTCTTCACGTGTAAAAAGGAGCTGAACTACCTGCAGCTCTTGCCGCTGTAATATCTTGTGTTTCCCTGAGTCATTTTAGGCACTGTAAGGTTACTCTTGAAAAAGTCACCTTTGAAAGCAGCTCTCTCCTGGGCAGCTCCTTCAAGCCCACCCAAAAACCAAACCCGTAGCTGTGCAGTCAATTCCAACTCATAGCAACAGTATAGGACAGAGTAGAACTGCTCCATACAGTTCCCAAGGCTGAAATCTTTACAGAAGCAGACTGCCACATCTTTCTCCCGTAGAGCTGCTGGTGGGTTCGAACTGCCCACCTTTTGGTTAGCAGCCGAGTGCTTTAACCACTGGGCCACCAGGGCTCCCTCTTCAAGCCCAAGAAGCTATTATTGTCATAAAGTTAATTATCTTTGCAGGCTGCCAGTTCTGACGCTCTGAAAAGGGAGCCCACAAGGACCCGCAAAGGCCCTGTCCCTGTGAAATCAAGGGTTGGCTGGGAGCTGAGTCATTCTTCTCAAAGCAACTTTTTCTTGCTCCTATCGGTCTGCGAACTGCCAGTCACAGCACCTACAGGTGGCATCCCAAAATTGATGCCATTGAGACACTAAAAATGAATCCTAAAATAGCTCTAATTTTGAATCTACTGCATTCAAATACTATTAGGATTAAAGCCATTATCAACTAGAATCGCAAGCGGCTAAGTGTCTCGGTGGACTAGAGCGAAAGAAACTTGGACACTCATCACTCCAGTCCCGTCCCGGCGGTGGAGACCTCGCCTCTCTCCCCACGCCTTCTCCTTCCCAGGCTATGGGAGGCTCTTCCCACGGTCCTGGTGGGACAAGTCGAGACAAACACACCTGGCTGCCACCCCCACAGCCGCATCCCACAGACTTGCTTCCGGGGATCTCAGACATCACCACCTGAGGATAGCGACGAGAGGAGAACGCGAACCAAGCGCGAAGACTACGGTGAAAAGTCAGAACCTCTGAGCTGCAGGCAAGTTTATCTGCCCTCGTTCCCCAGGCTCGGCCGCCGCCTGCTCTTGGCAAAACCAAAGCATGCAAACACAAACCCCAGCCCTCCCCTGAAGCCAACCTGAAAAAGGAAAGGCGGGAAGGTGTCTAAAATTGTTCCTCAGCCAGACAGTCCCAGGATCACGGCCCAGAGAGAAAGAGAAAAAGAGAAAGAGACAGGATTAACTCACTGCTGCTCCAGATCATCAGCCATAGTAAACAAGCACTGCCGGGTAGAGCTGAGCCAGCCCATCCCTCCACCTGACGCCAGCACCAGCTGACCCAGAAAAGTATCGGATAACAAAGTGGGGCGTGGCCAAGCCGCCGCCGGGCCGTGAGGCGGGGCCGGCAGAACTCCGATCCAGGTCTGAACGTGCGCGGTGAGGGGGGCAGAGGGCCAGGGGCTGAAACTCCACAGACTGGTTTCAGTGAGTGGAGGCCGTTCTTGGTGTTTTCGATTACTGACCATGTGTCCAGGCAGAGATGTCCCTGTGGGCCTCACAAACTAGGACAGTAATCATGGTCACATACTTGGGGGACAGAGAGGGAGACAGGTAGTACTGAAACAACAGAGCCCCTCACAGGAGGCCCATCAGCCCTCAATCATTTAGAGATTAAAAAGTGACAGAACTACCCCTGCACACCTGCACACGCTCTTTAAGCTTTCCTTCCCGTCTAAGTCCTTCCTGGGTGTGCTCTCTAACCAGATGTTTGGGGACCTGACAACACCAGTGGATGAATGCTCTTACAAAAGGCCTGAGGGCTTGTACCCCAAGCAGACTGCCAGATTTAGCAAATTAAAACACAGAATGCCTGGTTAAAATCGATGTTCAGACAAACAATGAACAATTAATAACATTATGACCCGTGCAATGTTTTGGGACATAACTGGGCATCCTGTATTTTATCTGGAAGTCCTAAGGGCAGTTATCTGCTGTTAAATCAAATGAAAATGGAGTCGTGTGGTTGACAAAATGGCATCGGTGGTCAAGTGGGCAGCTGAGTGGACAATGCGCAGAAGACTTGTCTATACAGACTTGTCTTAAAGCCCAACTTTCCTGTAAATCAGGTCACCCTCCTTGACCAATGAGATCCTGACAGCGCGTCCACCCTCGTCGACCAATGAAATCCTGACAACGTTTCAGTAGTAAATTGTATAAGCCAATCAGAAATTAGGTTCTTTTGCTTGGCATTCGGTCATTAGACAGTAGCTGCTGATAGCTGGGGGAGTACCTTTCCACGTTTGGTTTGATGCTCTCTGATTTGTGAATCATCTGCCAGAATAAACCTCATCTAATAGATAAATCTTATTATGGACTCAGTTTCTTTTGACACTGCCAAGAAAGGCATTTCTCTGCTCCGGGATGAGTCTGGTTCAACTTCAGTTCCCCCTTAGTTCAGAGGATCCCCCACCCAAGGAATTGGGGGGGGGTCTTGAAGGATTAACCTAATAAGGCTGGGTATGCTTCAGGTAGCTGGAATGGGGTTTCGGGTATGGAGGGTGGGGGTGGGTCTAGCTTAGCTTAGAGCTCCTGAATATACCTCAGGCTTGCTCAGTATAGAGGCTATATCTTTAGGCTGACTTCAGAATCCACCTGAACCAGTAAAGAAGACCTGATGTCCCTGGAGCTGTCAGATTTCAGGCCATAGCCATGGTTAGGTTAAAACCAGACTGCAGGGATCACAACAGAGGGTCTGGACAGAGTGGGAGAAAAATGTAGAACAAAATTCAAATTCACAAAAAAGGCAAGAGACTGGTCTGACAGAGACTGGAGGAATCCCTGAGACTATGCCTCCCAAGACACCCTACTAGCTCAGAACTGAAGCCACTCCCAAAGCTGACCTTTCAGCCAAAGATTAGGCAAGCTAGAAAACAATAACACACATAAGGAATGTACTTCTTAGATCAATCAAGTATATGAATCCAAATGGGCAACACTTGCCCCAAAGCAAATATGAGAAGGCAGGAAGGGACAGGAAAACTGGACTAATGGAAACAGGGAACCCAGGGTGGGAGAGTGTCGACAGATTGTGGGGATTGCATTCAATGTCACAAAACAATTTGCGTATAAATTTTTGAATGAGAAACTAATTTGCGCTGTAAACTTTCACCTAAAGCACACACACACACACACACACACACACACACACACACACAC